AATTGAACTGACTTTTCTGACCCAGAGCTTCAACGTTGAATATTAATAATATAAATTAAAATAAATATTAAAATAGTGCATTCCTATGGCAACTGTTTACTATTGGTTCTGTTAATTTTATTATCAGATGTTGGCATTAAAGGCATAGTTTGGAAAATCAAAAATTAACATGCAGTCACTGTAATTTGGGTCATGTATCACTGCTCCCACATATACTCAATTTCATATTTTGTACTTTATTGTCAAACTAATATTGCTCCAATATGACAATTTAGTTGACGAGTTTTGAACATGAACCTGGTTTCTGTTACGCAAGTCTATGAGAGGAACCATAGAATTTCTGTCGATAACATTTCAATATCCACAAATTACAACTTTTAATACCAAATGTATCAGAATTACTAAAATATCATTACAACGACAAAAGACCGACACAAGATCTATGGACCCACAGCTAAGTCAATGAGTTTACAAACAAATTTACATTCATGTTGTTGGTGTGTCTCTTAACTTCTATTGCATCTTTTCGTGAACGTGTGCATGATTTCCAGTTGGTTAATTGCAATATTTTGACTAAAATGTACTTTCTTGCACCAAGATTGACTGCGTACATAATTTTGATATATTCATATAGAACATATATATCCTTGCAGAAATAGTACACAATGAATTCTTTTGAATAAATTATTTTAATCTAAATAAAAACTGCAACCAATACGCAAGTGGAATAATTTTATTGGTTTTATAATCTATGCATGGTAGTAAACACTTTGCTACAGAAATTATTTGTTGAAGAGTCGGAGAGTTATACCAATTTTATAAGAGTTTGCTGAACCCCCCCCCCCCCGAAGAATTATAATAATGTGGCGTAACAGGGAGCTCGTCTGCTTACAGAGGCAATATGCATTTGCGGAATTCTGAGTTGAATCTTGTTTATACATATTCGTAAATGTGTCGGTGATTTGAATTACTTCCACTCAAGTGTTCACTGCTGGTGGGCAAAGTTGTCCTGATGGAAGTCGAAAATATCACTTTTTACCAAAAATATTCACCAAAATTAGATAACTAAAGATATCATTACAAAATAAACAAATCTGAGAGAGGTCCACTAAGCCGGGGTGTTTGAAACCGAAATTGTCGTCTAAGCATTAGGCGTCGCTGATTGGCTGCAGAGCTGGAATGCCAATTTTTAGTTTTAAATACCCCAGGAAAGTGTTCTATGTTCTTCGTGTAATTAGGTGTTCGTATGCAAATAATATTTCCACACAAAAACGCCAAATTCGACTAAATTTTGTTATCGGTTGGCTTAATATAACCCCAACAGACCGCATTTTTGTGAAAGATTGGTATTTTTGTCCTGATTTGTAGGAATCTAAAAAACGCGTTTCACAACTCGTCTCTTATTTAGTTTTATGCGGCATTCAAGATGGCAGCCCCTATAGAGTAAATATCATATTTTTTTTATTATCACGTGTGCGCCAGCTGACTGACTCAAGTCTAATGAAGCAGGCAAAAAATAACGAAATTGTGATTAACGGGTGAAATTTGCCATGAGCTAATAAAGAAAATGCTGAATAAGCCAGGCCATAAGTGGACTCATCTCTTTCAAACAGAGTACAATCTAAAGTCCTTTCCTACCATATGTGGCAGCCTGGTTATTTAAAATGGAGTATATGACAGTTAACCCAATCATTAGTCATTTACCATGACAATCACAATTCCACACTATTTTGAATACAGGAAACAATATACTACACACTGCTTATTCCAGTTCTTTTATTGGCTGATTAAAAACTTACATTAATATAATTTATATACATTATAATAGCGCAACCATTTTAACTTGAGTAAATAAATCTCAAACTATTCCAACCCAAACATATGGATGCAAAGTTAAATGCACATTTGTTTTGCTAAGAAAAATGTTTTCATGATACATCGCTCATGGTGACAACTGCATTTGGTTGTGTAGTTGTTCACCATTTAGAACATAGAATACAATTTTTATTACAGAAGCATACATTTTACTTCTGAAACATGATGGTTCAAAACCAATAGCATTAAATATATTTAACATAATTAAATAAATAATGTAATTTATTTATTTTCAGTGTTTCATTTCAACATTTTGAGCATATTCACTATATGTAGGTTTATATATCTGACTGGTGAGAACAAGACAACATTATTATTGTCCCCTTGTATGAAATGTTGGTTTATGAGCGATAGAAGTTAAATAAACAAATCACTCAAAACCATAACATGGTCAATCAAATAATATTCAGGCTAATAGAAAAACTCAAAAGTACTGCTAGAGAATACAAATGTTAAATTTGGAATAGATATAAATTGACATTGAAGGAGGATCTAGTACAATTTGAAATGATTAAATGATCTTCTTTGCATTCAACATGCAAGCTTGGTCAGACATAGCTCATTACTTAACATTTTTTTTTTTTTACAAATAATTAAATAACATCATTTACCCTGATCATCATGACAAGCAATAACAATGAACACAGCATTGACAAAGGGGATAATGAATGAATAAGTATACCCACGTTATCACTCTTAAAATGTGATAAGTGTTATGTAAATGATAACAGAACAAATAAAAGAAAAAAACTCCAATAAAATAATTGAATAAACCTGTTTAGCTAGAGTAGAGTATAACCATGCATGCTGTCATGTTATATACCATATATGTAATCAGAACTACAATTATAAGTAGTACAATAACAAGTCATAACCAATGTCATTATTTTCAAGGACGGACCTCACCCTATGAGATCTCGCTTCATGTGTGACTGGACATATATGCAAAAATTAAATGACTTGATTTTGATTATTTAATAGCTCAATATTGAATATGGTTTTTCAGAAGGGATCATTGCTTTGGAATGCCCTGACTTCATCAAAATTGACCGTAATCAAATGTATATAGCATATTCTTTCAACGTGAAAATAACCCCAAAACAATCTGCTGAATCTTATACAATTTTTTGACGTAACTATGACGAGTCCGGTTTTCACAATCAATTTTACACACAATGCAAGATCTCATAATCAACAGAAAATGGTATATACAGGCATAAAAGCTAAGATTGACCCTAGTATGTACTTTATTTTGTCCAATTTCTTGGACACTTGGACCTCTCTGTCTTGAGTAGCAAATATTGGTTGACGAAAATAAATTTTCCGAACAGTTTCTGTAATCCAGAATTCAGAATTAGATGAGTGATGTAATATCACATTGAACCCGTCAATTTAATTATAAGATGGGTAATAAACCAAAACTCGCCATTATTATACACTATGCATTGGTTGTAGGTGGTAAATAAGAGTATATAATTTAGCCTAATATTGTAAGTTTTGAGTATATGAACAATTATCATTCACTGTAAGTCGTTTATCTGTAATAGTGGATTGATTGTGTGCTGTTTGATCAGGCATTTGTCAAAAGTCGTTCCATCACGATGTTTTTCTGCTAAAAGCTGGAATCAATACAAGACAGAATATAAATGACAGAAATTACACTCAATATACTTTTCTCACCAATTGCACCTCTGGCGACGAATCATTTCATGTCATAGAAGGGTGACAACAAAGGCTGCTTAAAACATAAATGTCATTTCGATCTGTAGTTGTCCATCATGTTATTATATTGTTGATCACTACGAATCACTACACAACCAAACTTAGTTTAAACCAAATTGCTTACACTCGTATTTGGCATTTTGAGACGAGAAGAATGCACGACTTATAAGAATGGCGTATTGGTAAGTAATGTATCTTTGTAAAATCATATTGTATGTCTAGACCACTTTATTCAACACATGGTGAACACATGGATAGATATAGTTGTTAAATCACCAGGCAAGATGTAGCATTCAGACAGCAAGGTGAGTTGGGAAAGGTGAGTTGGGAAAGATTTAAACTTGCCCACAAATCTATACAGTCTTATCGGATACATGACCATCTTCTAATCTAATATGACTGGGAGTGGATAAAAGCATTCGCATGCTGGAAGTGCTGCTGTAACTGCCACTACTTTCATGAGTGCTATCGCTACTGATTGGGGTGCCAGGAAGTTCAACATCTAGGTTAACTGTTTGGAAACCATTCTCCATCAGAGAACTATTTTCATCATTTGGCTTCTCGTCATAAATAATACCAGCACCGGGGTTTGTAGATACAGAATCTGTGTCTTCAAAGCCATCTGCAAAGAAACAAACATGATGTAAAAACGATAATAGAGTCTCAAGGGTTACATTTTGAAAGTGATCAGTGCAAGCATGCATAGGGGAGATGTATGGCTGTCATTGATTCTTTACCAGTGTGTTAGTCAATGACACAAAGTTAAACACTACCACCTCAGAATATTGGCGATCCGCTCTGATAGGATTGTCCTTAAAATTGCTTTTGTGTGTTTGTGTCTGTGTGATTTACGTATTAATTCTTCTGTGATTTTTTGGCTTGGCCGATTTCACTCAAACTTGGCAGGTATGTCAAACCTTCACCCTAGTTATTGAAAAAAAATCTGGAATAAAATTTTGGCACATCGTTGCCATAGCAAAAGCCAAAAAAAAATGATTTTTGGATAGCTTCGCGCCAAATGCATCTCCTCCTACAAATTTAAGATACAACCCCTCAGCCTGGGTGTGGGCACTATTTGAATTTTTGATATCTTTTTTCATTACCGAGAAATTTGTCCCCAAAGTTGGGGTAACTAGTTCACTGGGAATGGCTTTTTAACTCTTGTGATTTTTTTGGCTGGGCAGATTTGGTTCAAACTTGCCAGGCAAGTCACTCCTTCACTCTAGTTAGGTTGCAGAATCTGAAAACAAATTCTGGCCCACTGTTTCCATAGCAACAGCCAAAAAACTGTTACATAGCAACAGCCAAAAAACTGTTACATTGCGCACTGACAAGAGATCACCGGCGCCGACATTGTTACACTGTATCAACGTAATCCCAACGCAACTTTGAACTTTGAATGAACAGTAAATGCTGCCTTCAATTTAGAAAATACGATCACAAAACGTTTGGAAATAATAAATTTAACAGCAGAATATGTCCTAGCAATGAAATAAAGTGACTTCTAAAGACTGAATGTTTTTTTGCGAACTTTGTATACGGTGCCCGGTTTTAGTTATAAACCTACGTTAGCTTCACGTTCATGTCCTACCATGGAAACAGCCAAAAACATGTTGCTTGTTTTTTAGTGGGGCCAATGGCCAACCAGCCTACCGACTTGTTTAGTGAGTTTGTCACATGCTGTTTTACTATGGTCAGTCAATGACAAGATGTGAAACACTACCTCACAGAATAGTATGTTTGTCATATTAGGCTTCACTATGGTCAGTCAATGACAAGATGTCAAACACTGCCTCACAGAATATTCAGTGACAAGATATGTCAAATGAAACATGTCAAATGATGTTCACCTTGGCAAGTATCAGCCAATCTCAAGCTGTCAATCAATGACAAAATGTAAATGATTCACTCTGGTATTTTCAGACAATGACAAAATGTAAATGATTCACTCTGGTATTTTCAGACAATGACAAAATGTAAATGATTCACTCTGGTATTTTCAATCAATGACAAAATGTAAATGATTCACTCTGGTATTTTTAGACAATGACAAAATGTAAATGATTCACTCTGATATTTTCAGACAATGACAAAATGTAAAATATTGCTTGAGTCTATGTAACATGTAAATCATCCTTTGGCAATATGGTCAGTCAATGATAAGCTGTGAAATGCTGCGTCACTCTGGTCGCTAGTCAGTCAATGATAAGCTGTGAAATGCTGTTTCACTCTGGTCGCTAGTCAGTCAATGAGTAGCTGTGAAATGCTGCTTCACTCTGGTCACTAGTCAGTCAATGATAAGCTGTGAAATGCTGCTTCACTCTGGTCGCTAGTCAGTCAATGAGTAGCTGTGAAATGCTGTTTGACTCTGGTCGCTAGTCAGTCAATGATAAGCTGTGAAATGCTGCTTTATTCACTCTGGTCGCTAGTCAGTCAATGATAAGCTGTGAAATGCTGCTTTTATTCTGGTCGCTAGTCAGTCAATGATAAGCTGTGAATTGCTGCTTTTACTCTGGTCGCTAGTCAGTCAATGATAAGCTGTGAAATACTGCGTCATTCTGGTCGCTAGTCAGTCAATGATAAGCTGTGAAATGCTGCTTCACTCTGATCGCTAGTCAGTCAATGAGTAGCTGTGAAATGCTGTTTGACTCTGGTCGCTAGTCAGTCAATGATAAGCTGTGAAATGCTGCTTTAATCTGGTCGCTAGTCAGTCAATGATAAGCTGTGAAATGCTGCTTTATTCACTCTGGTCGCTAGTCAGTCAATGATAAGCTGTGAAATGCTGCTTTTATTCTGGTCGCTCGTCAGTCAATGATAAGCTGTGAAATGCTGTTTGACTCTGGTCGCTAGTAAGTCAATGAGTAGCTGTGAAATGCTGCTTCACTCTGGTCGCTAGTCAGTCAATGATAAGCTGTGAAATGCTGCTTCACTCTGGTCACTAGTCAGTCAATGATAAGCTGTGAAATGCTGCTTCACTCTGATCGCTAGTCAGTCAATGATAAGCTGTGAAATGCTGCTTCACTCTGATCGCTAGTCAGTCAATGAGTAGCTGTGAAATGCTGTTTGACTCTGGTCGCTAGTCAGTCAATGATAAGCTGTGAAATGCTGCTTCACTCTGGTCGCCAGTCAGTCAATGAGTAGCTGTGAAATGCTGTTTGACTCTGGTCGCTAGTATGTCAATGAGTAGCTGTGAAATGCTGCTTCACTCTGGTCGCTAGTCAGTCAATGATAAGCTGTGAAATGCTGCTTCACTATGGTCGCTAGTCAGTCAATGATAAGCTGTGAAATGCTGCTTCACTCTGGTCACTAGTCAGTCAATGATAAGCTGTGAAATGCTGCTTCACTCTGATCGCTAGTCAGTCAATGATAAGCTGTGAAATGCTGCTTCACTCTGATCGCTAGTCAGTCAATGATAAGCTGTGAAATGCTGCTTTTACTCTGGTCGCTAGTCAGTCAATGATAAGCTGTGAAATGCTGCTTTATTCACTATGGTCGCTAGTCAGTCAATGATAAGCTGTGAAATGCTGCTTTTATTCTGGTCACTAGTCAATCAATCATAAGCTGTGAAATGCTGCTTTTACTCTGCTCCCTAGTCAGTCAATGATAAGCTGTGAAATGCTGCGTCACTCTGGTCGCTAGTCAGTCAATGATAAGCTGTGAAATGCTGCTTCACTCTGGTCACTAGTCAGTCAATGATAAGCTGTGAAATGCTGCTTCACTCTGGTCACTAGTCAGTCAATGATAAGGTGTGAAATGCTGCTTCACTCTGGTCGCTAGTCAGTCAATGATAAGCTGTGAAATGCTGCTTCACTCTGGTCACTAGTCAGTCAATGATAAGCTGTGAAATGCTGCTTCACTCTGGTCACTAGTCAGTCAATGATAAGCTGTGAAATGCTGCTTCACTCTGGTCACTAGTCAGTCAATGATAAGCTGTGAAATGCTGCTTCACTCTGGTCACTAGTCAGTCAATGATAAGGTGTGAAATGCTGCTTCACTCTGGTCGCTAGTCAGTCAATGACTGCAGTATGTCAAATATTGCTGCTTCTAGGCATACATGGTAATATCAAACACTGACAAAGTTATGTATGCATGTATGCATGTCATAAACGTATATACACGTATACAAAAAAATTGTATAATAAATACAAGTGATAGAATTCAATAAGAAATAAATATAAGAGACGTACTACACAAAATAGCATTACAAATGTATATGCATTTACATGTACATGCAGAATCTTTTTATTACACACTGTTTAAACATAAAGCAAGTTTTTATAAAATGTTATTTTTAATTGAAGAATCTAGAAGATGTATGGATGTGCACCATTATGTATACTCTTCAGGCCAGTAACTGTCACCTTAAAACGATATTATGCAACTGTCAGTGTGAAACAAGGAAATATCGCAAATAATGTAGTAAATGCAAATATACATGTATTATAAAAGAGCAACTAAAAGAAAAACAAAGATAGAAAGCGACACCTGACAACATAAAACAATATATTAAACTGATGTAGACGTGTTTACACAGTTCCATAGTTCTGGGATAAGACCATCACACTAGCTGAAAATAATGATTAAATGGAAGCATATGGTAAACAAGGTATAATAATAAAACAGTACTTCCACAGACATACCATGAGATTTGGAGATCCAAGTCAGGCATACAGTTCAGAGTCCGTGTCATCAGCTGCATATACAAAAAGAATTACACAACTTTTGTTCTGTTTTGTTTTTTGGGGGTTTTCATTCCAGCTTTGAATTTGTCAACATGAAATTACCAGATAATTCATTCCTCACTAATGTGAGTATATATTTATGCTGTCTTCAGAAAGATAAATCTAAACACACGTGCAAAAAAATGTGAAATGTGAAATAAAGTAAAACTGGCAGTAATCAAATGATACAAGCTGCTTTAGTAATATTCTAAATTAATAAAGAAGTTGACATAATTTGTTAAAAAAAATTCATGTTCAGCATGTTTGGTTGACTGTTAACACAAAACAAACCATGTATGATCATAAGTGCATTATTTTATATTCTCTAAATTGTAGGTATGCTATTTCCATTTGGAAGCACTGTTATGATTTTTATGAAGTTATTTCTTTTATGCATGTACATGTAGTTATTATTTTTTTTTAAATGAAGCTTTGTAGACAATAGGCAAATCTGCCAACAAATAAGGCAGTGAAATTCAAGTTATGCCCTTGGTGGCTATTCAAAAAAATAACAAATAATAATTTAGATGAAATAAGAAATTTAAAATTATGCAACGAAGAGCTCTCATTAATCTGGTGAGCTTGGACTATACACGAGGAATTACGACATAGGGTCAAGCAGTAATGCAATCAAATATGTAAATTTACACATCAGGTCATTCATAGCATCCATATATACGATGGCAATGAGCTTTCAACCTTTCAACGAGATAGACATGTTCACCAAAGTCACTCAAGCTGACAATGCTTTTTATACACGTTGACCAAGGAAATGTAACGATTTAGGTATACACTGTTTTAAAAGACTATTTTTCCTGCTCCATGCCTGTCTATGAAGTTCACGTTTTGTTTAAATTGCTGCTGATGTGTTGCTACCTCTGGCTGTGATCACCAAATAAATGTGATGCATACAACAATGCATGTCAAGTTTTGTAACATGTTTTTTATTCCAATAATGATTTCCATGGCATGTACATGTACATAACAAATTAGGGCACGAACTGAAACTAAAACTGAAATTTTAAAATAATTTTTTGAGCTTCAGGATAAATTTAATAATTAGTTTAAAATAAATTGGGTGTGCGAATTTATAGACCGATAGTTTTTATGGTATTTCTCATTTTAAACTAGTATGGTGCTGAGAAGAACATGGTTTGCATTGTGTTAACAGTTGTGAGAAAATTCTAGAAATTAGGCCACATATTTGTACCTAATTTTGATAGGAAAAATACAACATACGGTATTCACTTTGGTGCCCAGATTTCAAAGAAGTACAAGACAAAAGTGTTCATGTTACTGCATGCTTTACTGTGCTATACAGCTATTTTACTCCCTGCCACCTGCGTTTCACCCTGTGAGATTGGTTAGAAATTGATATATTTAGCAGATAATTCACTTGACACTAAATCGAAAGGCAAGATTGCAGAATGTTTTACATGTATAACCATAATTGCCAAAAGTTAAAAGCATCCCTCCTGTAATTCTAATGAAGTAGTTACCATACTTCCCCAATTCTTAACCCCATGGGCTCAATAAGTAAAATCTGGGAAAATAAAGGGTGGGCTTATTACACCAAAGGATGACTCATGGTAGAAACGAACAGCTGTTGTTTGTTTAACATCGTAACCATGTCATCCCCTCTTGAAAAATTATCCAATTGACAGTGAGGAATACACGTCTCTTTGAGGATAATTGCAAAATAAGCTGCGTCATCATTGATTTTCAAAATACTTTTACAATGAAGAACAAAAATATTCACAAAAAAGTATGCATATCTTCTTACACATACTATTATTACATACCATTTGAATTTATGTTGTAAAATTATTAGGGTCTGTGGGAAAACAGTAGAAGCCAAGATCTTTATCTTCAAATATTTTCAATCATTGGCAAACTCTTGATGCAAAACAATTTCTGACTGGTCTAGTCTTCTATAAAATGCTGATGCAATTTACTGGGATTTTCCAAATATTGATGATGGCATTGATTTTGACCAAAAAAACAACAAAAATTTAAATGGTGATTTGCAATTTTTGAAAGCTAACCTGAGTGAGGAAAAAGGATTTAACCCCTTTCACAGTTGTCAACAGGTCACACCCTATTCCGGATAGTCACAACAAACACTGTGATTGTTCATAAAAGTAAAATGATGTCCTTTGACAAGGTTTCACCAAGGTTTCACCTACATACATGTATTATAACATAACAAGGCAATCCATCTGGTATTTTTCAAGAAGAAGACGAAAATGTAATAGTTGACGAACAGTGAATGGACAACAAACGATATCAGCAGATCTAAAACAAGAACTACACCACCAATCACAATTTTCATGAATGAAACAATGCATATTTCAATAAACAAAATCGTTATTGTAATCAAGGATGCTCTAAACTCATCAAATGTCTAAAAGTAAGGGCTGGGCTTCACCAAAGTAGGGGCTTATGACCAAAGAAGTACAGCATCATTGCAGAGTAAACTTTTCTTTGTTCAGATCAAAGTACCTCACTAAATTTTCAGCACATAGTTAATTTTTTGGACATATTGACATATTTTTAGCATAAAAACCAATGATGAAATGAAAAAGTTGCAATTGCCCAACAAAAAAATTTCTGTCAGCTCCATATTTAATACACACAAAAATAACATTCAGTTTCCAATACAGTTCAAACCTCTTTAAAAGCAGCCTAGAAATGTATGCCTGAGAGAAACGGTGTGCAGGTTATCTAACTATACAGAAATTTTACACTACAGGTATGATAAAAGCTAAATGGTACAAGCAAAAGGATCGATTCAAACTTAATTCTCTCTGGTTTGTCAACACTCAATCTTGAACAAATTTGGGTGTATCTTATGTACCGTAACTCTTGCAATTATTTAGTTTATCCGCAATCACAGTCATTAATATTTTAAATACTCAAACAAAAATAATGTAGGATTCCATACAAGTCTTGTGTAACTTTAACCTGAGAGAACTATGAGTGATTCACACAGATGGAGAACTAACAAGAAAAAAATATAGCAGCTTGGTTTGGTTCCTAGTCAATCTATATGGAAACTAATGCTGAAATCAAATCAGATAGGGTTCAATAAAATCATAGAAATGAAGCATTAGTTGTTATCTTGTCATATCTTGTGCATGTAAATGGGTGAAAAGTCATCGATGAATCATATAAAATATTTTTTGCTTGAGAAGACTCACAACTAAGTAATCACAGAACTACTTATACAATTGTGTTCACTTTATGCACGAATTAAAAATAACAAATTTGTGAAGTGAGTCCTGGAGATACAATGTAGGATATAATTATATTTTATAATGTCCTAGTCTAGAAAGAGGATTTGCAGTTAGTGCAACCAGAGCAACAACAAGGTAATTCAATTTACATTATTTTTTATAAAACATACAATGTTATAGTAGATATATTTATTCTCCAAATAATAATTCAGCGTTGTTCTCCCACATCATTGTAAAATCACAGCAATGACATGATTGTAAGAACTTAGTTTGTGAGTCTTTCTCTCATTAGTGATTTATCTCACCTCCACTATAAACATCTTCTTCATACGGTATTTCGTCATCATCTTCACAGTCATCCGGATACAACACATCATCATAAATCACCTCTTTTGGACCGTCTGTTTTCTCGGTCACCTCACAATCATTAGTAATTGGTGTACTTTTCTCAGAAGAAGGGGATACAACTGTGGGTGACTTCTGGACTTCAGCACTATCTGCCAAAACAGTGTTTGAATTTCTACATGACGGGCAATCAGATACTCCTTCTGACATAGGTTCTGGAGTCGTTTCAGACATTGGGTTAGATATCGGTGATACTATTGGTGAACTGTATGGTGGTGATGTTGGAGTTGGGAGTGATAACTTTCTTGGCTTTGTCTTTTCTGTCTTATTTGATGGCTAAAGAGTTAAAATAAAAGATCAAGGGAATTATTATGTGTACTTACTCGGATTTCTACTGGCACAGGTAGTATGAAAGTATTTCTATTGGCATTCTCTACTGGTTGTAATATGTACTTACTCGGATTTCTACTGGCACAGGTAGTATGAAAGTATTTCTATTGGCATTCTCTACTGGTTGTAATGTGTACTTACTCGGATTTCTATTGGCACAGGTAGTATGAAAGTATTTCTATTGGCATTCTCTACTGGTTGTAATATGTACTTACACGGATTTCTACTGGCACAGGTAGTATGAAAGCATTTCTATTGGCATTCTCTACTGGTTGTAATGTGTACTTACTCGGATTTCTACTGGCACAGGTAGTATGAAAGCATTTCTATTGGCATTCTCTACTGGTTGTAATATGTACTTACTCGGATTTCTACTGGCACAGGTAGTATGAGAGCATTTCTATTGGCATTCTCTACTGGTTGTAATATGTACTTACTCGGATTTCTACTGGCACAGGTAGTATGAAAGCATTTCTATTGGCATTCTCTACTGGTTGTAATATCTACTGACACAGGTAGTACGAGAGCATTTCTATTGGCATTCTCTACTGGTTGTAATGTATACTTACACGGATTTCTACTGGCACAGGTAGTATGAGAGCATTTCTATTGGCATTCTCTACTGGTTGTAATATCTACTGACACAGGTAGTACGAGAGCATTTCTATTGGCATTCTCTACTGGTTGTAATGTATACTTACACGGATTTCTACTGGCACAGGTAGTATGAGAGCATTTCTATTGGCATTCTCTACTGGTTGTAATATCTACTGACACAGGTAGTATGAGAGCATTTCTATTGGCATTCTCTACTGGTTGTAATGTGTACTTACTCGGATTTCTACTGGCACAGGTAGTATGAGAGCATTTCTATTGGCATTCTCTACTGGTTGTAATATGTACTTACACGGATTTCTACTGGCACAGGTAGTATGAGAGCATTTCTATTGGCATTCTCTACTGGTTGTAATATCTACTGACACAGGTAGTATGAGAGCATTTCTATTGGCATTCTCTACTGGTTGTAATGTGTACTTACTCGGATTTCTACTGGCACAGGTAGTATGAAAGCATTTCTATTGGCATTCTCTACTGGTTGTAATATGTACTTACACGGATTTCTACTGGCACAGGTAGTATGAGAGCATTTCTATTGGCATTCTCTACTGGTTGTAATGTGTACTTACACGGATTTCTACTGGCACAGGTAGTATGAGAGCATTTCTATTGGCATTCTCTACTGGTTGTAATGTGTACTTACTCGGATTTCTACTGGCACAGGTAGTATGAGAGCATTTCTATTGGCATTCTCTACTGGTTGTAATGTGTACTTACTCGGATTTCTACTGGCACAGGTAGTATGAGAGCATTTCTATTGGCATTCTCTACTGGTTGTAATGTGTACTTACTCGGATTTCTACTGACACAGGTAGTATGAGAGCATTTCTAT